AAAATGATAGACTAGGAAATGATAGAATAATGAGCAAAATGAGAAAAATGATAGACTAGGAAATGATACGATCTAATCTAACATATGAAATATTTATTGAAATATGTTTTCTCAAAATGACTTATATGTCATTATTTTTATGTCATTTATAAAAAATAAATAAAATTCAAAATACTAGAAAATACACAAATAGCCTTAACTATTAGTTAAAATTAATGATTTTTATGGTTCTTAACATTTAGTAGTTCTCATTTGATCTTTTACACACACATATATATATATATATATATATATATATATATATATATATATATATATATATATATATATATATATATATATATATATATTCTTTTGAGGTTCAAACAATAACATATATGATATTTTAAAATTTTTCGATGGATAATGAATTTAATGTCTTTGGAATTTTTTTAATGATATTTAGTTTTAGATAAATCCAAAGTCTTAAATTTTAATGATTGGATTATGTACATAGCAATGCAAATAGATGTGATAAATTTGCATTGTTAATTTTTTGAGACCGAAAAGTCTTCGCATTGAAAAAAGATTATAAAGATAAGTCTCTAAAAAAGTAAAGGTTATTAAAACTTGAATTTGTATTTATGTTGTCAAATGTAATAGATATGCTACTGGATATGCTCTAATATCATAACATTATAAACCAAAGATTTGACATAAAATGTTCTTTTAGCCGATGATGATGAAGTCATAAAACTAATACTTATTAAGAGTTATCGTTGTTTATACATTCGACAAGTGATGGGTAATGTATTTTATTCACTAGTTAGCTTTTAAAAAGTGGGGATAGGGAAATATGTCGACACCCAAAAAAAGAAAACGTTTATGAGGTTGGAGTTAGAATGTGGGGTATGTTTGCTTTTATTGGATTTGACTTCTTATCGGTTCCAAATAAGGTTAAGGCCCATTTTCATTTTCGATATATTTTTATTGAGTCTATTAAGAGGTCATGTCTTATTCATTCGGGTTGTTTGATATCAACTTTTCAAGCCACTTACTCGGTCATACACCTCTTACTCAGTAATCTCTAAAATTATGTTGACGAGGGGAGGATCTATGTACGTGCTCAAGATAGTTTATGATACCCTTTAAATTTTGAGACGCAGTGGAAATGTTTTGAAAATATTTATGGTGTAGTGCAATTTTTTTGTGTGCCACATAGAAAATTTATATGATATTTTGTTCTGCCTCTCGCACTGATTCTAACCGAAAATATTAGGTCTGATAATTCTCGACACGACCCGCAACACGACATGAAATAAATGGGTTTGGGTTGAGTTTTTCAACCCGTCAACCCGCTAACCCGCCAACCCGCTTATTAAACGGATCATATATAAGTTTCTCAAAAAATAAACGGGTTGACCCGCCAACCCGTTTATATTCTCAATAAAAAAATTATTTTATTTTTAAATCTATTTATATATCAAGTATTAATATTTAATAAGTATTATATAATATATACCATTGATTCATGAACCATTTCACTATTTTGACATTTTGACTCGTGGTGGATGGTCTAAGGTCGTAAATCGTAACCTCTAAAGCTAAGTCTGTAACATGTTTCTATAAATATTTTTAATTTTCATTTAGATGTTTAAGACTTAAATGTCTAAAATTTGAACCCACGAACCAGCCAACCTGTGAACCCGTATAAATAAATGGGTTGGCGGGTCATATATGAGTTTATGTTCCAAACCCGCCAACCCGTAATCCACCAACCCGTGACCTGTATATTTAAATGGGTCGTGTTTGGGTTGACATATTTTGACCCGCCAACTCGCCAACCCGCGACACGCCAACCCGAACACGACACGATTGTCAGGCCTAGAAAATATACATGTTTATCTGCCTCATTTACCCTTCTTTCACACGTTCCTTCTCCTTGCGTAGACAACGACAACCCTCCTCCCATCATCATCTCTTCTAGCTGTGTCAGCTCCCCCACCTCCGATCTACTCATTTGCCGCCCCTTCCGGTGCCACCTTGCACCTCCTTCTAGTGCCGCCTCGCACGTCTAGCCTCCTTAGCGGTATGAAAACTCATATTCTTATTATTTTTAGTAATTGTTGAAAACTACTAATAGACTAATAATTTTATATGGTTATTACCATAAAAATACCGATCAACTTATGTTTTTATATATTAAAGCATCCATATAATATGGTGGTATAATTTTTTGGTGAAGTTCTTGTTTATGCATTTTTGAAATGAAAATACTCAAATTTATCGTTATAACAAAAAAAGATTTTAAAAATTATTTTTATAAGATCTTCATATAAGTTGTTTATTTATAGTTTGTTGAAAGTTTATATCATTGAAAAGCGTTTTTAATTAATAAATTTCTTAAAAAGGCTTAAAGTTGAAAAAAAAAACATTTACAATAGTTTTTTCAAAAATTATGAACTTTTTGGAGTAATAGATTTCTTGAAAAAGTTTCCAAAAATCTCATATCGTGGATGTTCTTAGTCATTTAACTTGATATTTGTGTATTTGTTATTTCATTCTTTAGTCATTTAACTTGATATTTGTGTATTTGTTATTTCATTCTTTACCGGATACCGTTGATGTCCCTCACGACATGCAACCCTACACACATTTATGTCTCTTTATCCCTCTTCGGAACACCATTGCTAATATCCCCCTTTTGGAACCAAGGTTGTCTCCTTCAACCCCTTCTCCATTTATGATACAAGTTTTTGTTTAGGGTTTAGTTTCTAGATTTTATATCCATTGCATCTCTTATCTGTTGTCTCTTCCCTGTCCCCTTACCCTTTATACTTGTAAAAATCATATATGGACCATGTTGACGACTTTGGAATAAAAAAGGACTACCCAAATCCTGTAAATTCGAATCAGATGACGAGATTTGAAGAGAGAAATTATTGTTTACTTATATATTGACAATGTATATCATGTTTATAAGATTTTCATGAAGGAGACCATAAACATTGTCTATGTAGAGATGTAAAAAGGTAAATGATTAAAGTTGGTGTAAAGAACTAGAAACTCAACAAGTGAAAATATTATTGGAACGTTTCATCCATTTAAGCAAACTCACATACCTATTTCAAAAGGAATGAGTATTATGTGTATCCAATATTCCAATTATGTTGAACATATATTAAATTAGGGATTTTTGTTACTTATGATAATTTATATAATGTATACCCAAATCTATTAAAAAAAATAAACTAGATTTTCCAGCTATGGAGATTGCTACTCGGGTTAACAAGAGAGGAGGCACGAGCAAAGAAATATATATCTGAAAAAGTATCATCTCCAAAAGCCTAACATCCTTTATGTTTATTAAATCATCAAAAACTTGAATTTGGATTTTATTTTCGTACATGTTTCGAACCATATTCATTTACTTCGACAAAAGATGAGGATTCAAACCATATTCTTTTCATTGGACCAAACCGAAGTAAAATGTGACAATAAATCTAATTGTATATGTATCTAAACATGTAAAAAGTAATTGTAATAACAATAAAAAGTTAACATTAAAGAAAACAATATACTCATGAAATTTCGTTGGGATGAGATAAGGAAAGGTAGAAGTCAACAACTATGTATCTAAACATATAAAAATTACTATTAGATTAATTCCTTTTGTTTATTTTGTTGTTAAAAGTTAAAGTATGTCTTCGGTAAAAATAGCTGTCAGTGGATAATATATAACGTGTAGCGGATAGCTGATAGTTTTTTATTAAATATTACGTGAGGTATCTTTTGGATTTGAAACGTTTTGTTTAAACAAAACATCAAAAGCTTATAGTGTTAAACAAAGTTTTTTTGTTTAAAACATAACGTTTTGTCAAACACTAGAAACTCTCAAACGTTCTGCGTCAAACATGCCTAAAGTTAAGTATATTGTTTTTATCAAACACAAAAACATATATTTAAAGTGTTTTTTTTTTCCTATCGATAAACGTCATATATAGAATCAGTCTTTTTTTTTTTTTTTCTGATGATAACGAACATAAGACTTCACGGATATTTTAGTCATTGATATTTTAATTATTTAGTAGGAGGCAAATTCAGACCACTTGACTAACGAGTGGGAACAAATAACTAGTTAGTAACTTGGTAAGTATCAATACAAGTTGAGCGGATGGGTAAATATTTTTTATAAAAATTATTTAAATATAATAATAGTTCATATAAATAAGATTAATCAGAGAAAAGGGTTTAATATTCAATATAATTTTTGGTATATTGTTTTTTCTTACAAAATATTTTTTTAACATATTGTTTTTGCACACATATAATTGATGACTACTTCAGATTAAGTTAATAGTTTATAAATATCTTTTTTTTTTTTTTTTTTTTTTTTTTTTTTGCAAAATAAGTCTTTATTGTATTTGTAAACATTCAGTTAGCTAATTCATGACCAATCAATGAAAAATACGATTTTCATCTTGGTTAGGGACAAGATCACGTTTTGGGGAAAATCATGGACAAACTTGATTCAAAATTCAAACTTTGAGAGTTTACGGATCGCTAATACGATTTATGATGATTTTTTTTTTTTTTTTATAATTTTACCAATACAGGGGCAGAATGAGAAATTTTCAGAATTTCTCAGCAATGAATTTTAAGGGTTATTTGACAACTTAACCCATTATGCCATAACCAAAATCAACTCTAAAGATGGAAATTGAGGACTTAACATTAACAACATGTAAAGAAGTTAAAATAACAATTTCAACATCAAACCATGACTCAAAGTACACTGTTTATATAGGAAAAACAATATATGTTGCAAAAAGAGAAACCTAATTTAGGTTTGAGTTTTCTTCACCATTGAGACACATAAAAAGACACTTAGGAACTATTTTGATAACCACATGAATGGTCCAAAACATAGTCTTATATGAAGAAAAATTGCACACATGAAATCATTATAATTGAAGTGATAGAAACATGAATTTTTTGACACCAAAAGAGAGAAATTAACTTCACAATTCCAATCTATCCTTAGGCACCATCAACAACACATAAAAGAGTGCTTTTAGAAGGATTTGACAGCAACAGTTAGCCAATAACACACCCATTAAGACTGAAAATCGGACATATGATAATTCACTAGAATTGAAGTGAAAAGAAGAAGATTATGTGAACCAAATCACTAGCAATTGAAGCATGGACACAAGAGAAGGAAGAATCAATACATACCAACACTTAGGGTCGATTTCACGACTCCAATCTTCTTTAAGAAGCCGATGATTTTATCCCTTGTTCCCTCTTTCTCCTCTCGTTCACGTCGCCTCCCCCTCTCCCACTTCGTGATCGTTTTTTTTCCTTGCTAAAAACCGATGGATGCCACAAGATTAGGAAGCCACGAACTTGATTTGGTCGACTCAATTCCCCATTAACAACGTTAACAACTGATTTAATTGGATCGATTCTTGTTGCCATCGTGACCCAAAAACGGACATACTCTCATCAAATCTCATTAACACGTCAATTAGTCATGGGGTTACATTTGATTTTGCAAAGAAAGTCCTTAAACTTTCATAATTTAATTCCTAACAATCCTAACCCTAATAACTTAACATTTTTTAGTTTCCTTAATGGCACAACAACCCCTCAACATAATTAACACCATTTAAATGATTTAAGTTTACAATAATAATTCCATAAATTAATTTAGGGTAAATGTCACAAAAAACGCTCTTTTTACACAGAAATTCGATTTTAACACCGTGTTTTTTTTGTGTCAATTTTGACACCGTGTTTTCCAATTTGTTACAATTCTGACCACTTGATCGGTTAACCAGGTTACATGCTGACGTGGCATGATGACGTGTCAGTTTTGATGACATGGCATGCTGACATGATATGATGACGTGTTAAAATTGATTTTTTTTTCACAAAAAACACTAAGTTTTCACTTTTTTCGATTTTGACAGTAAGTTTAATTTTTTATTTCGATTTTGACACTATGTTTTTTTTGTTCCAATCGAACATCATTTATCAAATTTTGTTCAATTTTGTCTATTTTTCCATTTGAAACCGTATAAATATATTTTTTTTATTACATTTTAAACCGTATAAACATATTTTTTCATTTAAAAACCACATATTTATTTAAATACAAGGTGTTTTTTTTACATTCAAAACATTAGTTATATCATGAGAATCAAACTAACCATAAGCTTCTAATAAGATGTAAAAATTTGATGGGTTATAAACATGATATCTGAGTTTTGATCGACTACACGCCTCCAAACCTCCACACACATTTTAAAGTTGCATATTTAATATAAAATACAATTTTTATATAACTAATACATATTTATATATAAAAATATGGTTTGAGTGTAAAAAAATGTATTTATACAAAACTATGGTTTTTAAATGAAAAAAAAAAAAAACATATTTATACGGTTTAAATGTATTAAAAAATATTTATACGATTTCAAATAGAAAATTGTCAACATTGAATAAAATTGGAAAAAATGATGTTCGATTTGGAACAAAAAAAATATAGTGTCAAAGTTGAAAGAAAAAATTAAACTTAGTGTCAAAATCGAAAAAAAAAAAAAAAAAACTTAGTGTTTTTTGTGAGAAAAAAATTCAATTTTGACACGTCAGCATATAATGTCAGTATGCCACATCATCAAAACTGACACGTCATCATGCCACGTCAGCATGTAACCTGGTTAACCGGTCAAGTGGTCAGAATTGTAACAAATTGGAAAACACATTGTCAAAATTGACACAAAGAAAAACACAGTATCAAAATCGAATTTCTGTGTAAAAAGAGTGTTTTTTTGTGTCATTTACCTATTAATTTAATTTAATTACATTTATCTTAATTGCTAATTAATTCTTTTAGATGTTAAATACATCTTTTTTTTCAATTTATTTCGTTATATACCTTAAAACCAAAATAATCTTATGAATATAAATATTTGTCTAACGGAGAGTAATATCGATGACGGAAATAAATTCGGGTCATTGCAACAAGGACTCTGACAATGATCAACTCAATCCTCGAAAGAGGAAGGCTTTTTTCTTAGGGGGAACTCATGACGTTGAAGCTGGAAGATCTTCTGTCGTTGCTGCTAGTGATCCTTCAACATCTCTTCCTAAAAAGTAAAGCAAAAACATTTTTAATCTAAATGAACTTACAGAAACATGGAGGTTACCCATTGAGGAAGTTAGAGAAATTATGTTTGAATATAATGTTGTTATTCGGAAAAAGAAACAAGCAAGAAAAGAAGAATGAGTGTCTGCCAAACTTGCTCAAGCTCTTCCTTTCGCTAATGAGAGTGCTAATGTTTAAAGCACTAATAATCAAGTCAATAAAATCTTCCATAATAATGTGGAGAAACATCACATTGTTTCAGACCTGATAGACCGGATTGATAGGAAGAAGTTTGGAGATGTTCTCACTCGCAAGTGAAATCTTGATCCTGTTGTCAAAGTGAGATGCACCAAACCAAGAAACGAGTTCTTGAAGCTTCACTTGGTTAGAAAGAAAACATAATATAAATACACTGGAGTTGTTTATGCTCATGAGCTAGTCAACTTTGGCTACAACGAGTGTATGAAAATTCAAGAAATTATCGAAAAACACAAAGGTATTTATGCTCAGGAAATGAAGTTGACAATTCAAAAACTTCTTGGCAAAGTCATGAAGTTGAACCTTGTACCATCAATTGGTCTATCTAGACTGTAATATTCAAGAAGAACAGGTGCTCCCATACAATCCAAGAATAACAAGTTTCTTCTTCCTTATGGAACTCAATATATCAACAAGGAATTACCAACGGGTGTTTACCCAATCCAATATATGTCAAGATAAAATATCCCATGCTCTAGTTTTGGAAAGAACATATCCCATGATTTTGAAGAAGAAAATTGATCAATTCAGATGGGTCAAGCCTGAGATCTTGAAAGAAGCTGACAAGTTCTACATTGGCTCCTTCGATGATTATAAAGAAGAAAATTAGTTTTGACATCATCAGATTGGGGGAGATTGTAAGGTCATATATTATGTTCTGATGAGTCAAACACTCTACACTACCTGTCGGCGTCAGCGTCTACAACATCGACAACGTCAGTGTATCAAGCTTATCAGTGTTAACGTATAGATTAATTATTCTATGTAATCTTCTATATATTAGGTAATGATAAACATAAGTATACAATAGATCACATATCCGGTATCTTTGTGATAAGATCAGTTCTTAGTATATATTAAAAGCAATCTATTTAATCAAGGGATATACTTGTATAGATTAGTATATAATCTACATTAGGGTAAAATCTAACATAGAGTTAGTCTTGGTGACCGTCTTTGTGACAACTCGTCTTATTGGTGAATATAAAACCTTTTCTTAGTAAAAGAACAATTTTCAATTTGTCCATCACCTCAGCTTTATAGTCCCAAATTAGTGTGCCAGTTAGCCACACATGCTCCACTAGTGACATATGAAGAGTGATGTGCATTTTCATTGATTAGCATACAATTTCACATTTTCCCAAAAGTAACTAGAGTTAGGATTTATATAAAAGATTATAGTACTTTAATAGCATTATACTTTTAAGAGGTTATGTCTTATCAAATCCGTTCAGCTAACAACCACCCACCATACAAGGGGGCAGTGGGTAAGAGTGGACACCCAATAACCACTAGCGACATATGAAGAGTGATGTGCATTTTCATTGATTAGCATACAATTTCACATTTTCCCAAAAGTAACTAGAGTTAGGATTTATATAAAAGATTATAGTACTTTAATAACATTATACTTTTAAGAGGTTATGTCTTATCAAATCCGTTCAGCTAACAACCACCCACCATACAAGGGGGCAGTGGGTAAGAGTGGACACCCAATAACGATCATTTTATAGGTCGTTTCCTTATACCCCCTTATAGTATGACTTCATGAATGAGACGTACTAGCGACTTGACTGACTTGTCTTATACATATATTAAATTGCTAATCATATATTGTATAAGATGTATTTCAAAACTTTTCAAAATACTAGGGTTTAAAATTAGTTTTCAAAATAAACATTTAATAATTAATTGATTTTAAACAATTAATGATTTACCAACTATCCTTTAATTAAATCATCAAGGATTAAAATGGTTATCATAAATTAAACATTTTAAAAAATCATTTAAATTTAAATCATTAGGGATTGAATAGTTATATTGAATTAAACAATTAATAAAATAATTCGAATTTAATACTTATTCTTATGAAAAAAAAATAATTATTTTCACTTAAATAATTAATAAAATAACTCAAATTTAATCCTAATTCTTAGGAATTAAATAATTTTTTTCAATTAAACAATTAATAAAATAATTTAGATTTAATCATAATCCGTAACCCTTTAATTTTCGAAATATATGGTTAGGTTTATCGGGTTTTAATTATTCGAAATTGAAGGCATTTAAAATAATAATTAAGGTAACAAGATAAACCTTAAAGGAACCCCTTATTTTTCGAAAATAGGGTTAGGGAGACTAGGGCTTCAAGAAACCTTAGCAAAGTCGAAAATCTCATGGGCTAGGGTTTATTTTCGATAAACCCTAATTCTTTGATCTATTCATTTTATGCATAATCAACATAAAACTATGACTCTAATACCACTGATGGGTTTTATAGATTATAAAAAAATTATTGTAGCGGAAAAACACTTCAATCATTAAGTTCACATGCAACTTAGAATGGGTCTATATTTTCTCTATTGATAATAATAATATATGAACATCAAGAAACTCTAAGAGAAGGCTATAGAAATCGAAATTTATATAGATCTAGAGTTACATACCTTTTGATTATTGCACCAAATAATCAAAGTAGATTCCTTCTTCAAGAAGTTGGAAAGCTAGCACCAAAGAAATGGACGCCTTTATGGCTTATACCCAAAACTCCAGTAGTAAGAATACTTGAGGGGAGAGGAGGCTAGAGGAGAATTTTAGCTCTGAGTGTATATTCTATGTATGAAATATGATGCCAAATGACCCTATTTATAGTTGATAGGAAAACTTTAGAAACCTTAATTTGAAATAAAATAATATTATTTCAAATCCGAAATAATGTAGTTTCCTAATTATCCATAAAGACTATTCCGAAAAACCCTAAACCCTAACCCCCCCCCCCCCCTAATTTCATTTAAAGGGTTGGAAGGTTCTGGAATATCTTCTTGTTCAACTATTGAACAGTTACTATTTCAGTCCATGCATTTTCAATGAATCCAATTAATTCCAATTAATTTCTGATTAATTCAAAATTAATTATTACTATTTCCAGTTACCAAATTAATCATATAATATATTAATAAATTATTTATTTCAATTTCTACTTGATTTATTAATCATATAATAAATTGACAAATCAACCTCTTCCTCCAAAAGTCATTCTATCCAAATACTAGTTTTGAGGGCAACCCAAAAAAACTTTGTTTTTTATTTAAGAATATACCAATTTAGTTATTGGCTTTGACACCTTGATCCAATAATATATATATATATATATATATTTTTCCGTAATTATTCACGAAGTGAGACCCTTATGTGTTTTTCACTTTTTGTGTATTCACATGTATCTAGTTTTGTTATATATTTCAATTAAATCATGATTATGACATATATAATTTCACTAAGAATATTTCTACATGAATTACCGAATCCAAGTACTCCCCGAGTACTTGCTACTCGGCAGTTGATCGAACATGTACCAAGTAACAAGTTCTACAACCTTGCGTGTAGTACATCCTAAATAATTATTCCATGGTAGGATATAAACACTCCAAACACATATAACATACAAAAAGGATACACATCACAACATATCAATTTTGGATCACTCAATTCGTTTATAAGATGTGTAAATTCTGAATAATGTACTAGATTTTTCAACGATGATTAATTCACACATGGTCCAAGTTTTAGAATAAATGAATAGAGGAAAGTGTATTGTAATAAGCAATTATGCACAATAAAAGAATACACAAGAGCCTTATTAAAAACGAGCTTCAAAACAAAAAATGAACAATACAATACACAATTTGCGACAGTGTAGATGAATGGTCGCGTCACGACAAGTCAACATATCGCGACTAAGGTTAACCTGAGACTTCAATGTCGCATCGTGAGTCCATTGACAACTACAAAATGGATTTTCGATTAATTTCCCTCTCCTATTTGATATATGTCTGATCAAAACCCTTTTAGGAAGGTTTCAACCTTTCAAGACAATAACTAAGTGTCTACAACGGTTGGAACACCTTAGGGACCAAAATAACACTTTACACCATGGATTTTGCACCATCCATTGTTATCTATCGAGCGTGCATCACATGGATAAAAAATTACTCAAGAGAATAACAACATACACTCTCGAAATCTGTGGGATGCCTCAGGAACAAGATGGGAACAAACAATCACCACAATACTACACCAAGGATGCTTCTAAGCCCCTGAGAACACCACCACCTTTAATTGAATAACATCAATCTCATGGATTATTCAGACACCCTTACATACACTCTTTAGAAGTTGGTGGGTGCAAAATAAGGTAATAAATCTCAAATTTTAGGGTTATGCTAGATTATATAATTCACAACTTTCCATTTAGGTCTCCAAAGTATCATAGAATGACTCCTTGACCAATGTGTAAGTTCAAGAATCAATTTATTACACTTCCCCCCCCCCACCCCCACCAAAAAAACATCTTTTAACTTGAGAAAATCTTAGTTTGACAAATAAACAAAACAAAACACCACCCTTGACCACGAAAAGGAAATTTGAGTCATCACACATTAGTTATGCTTTGTCGTGATTACTGAAACGGAACATCCCTTTTATAAGTAGTAACCTATCCCCATGTGAGATTCCCAATATGGGAAAACATTTAATAACAAGGGGCCATACCTTGGGAACAAGCTTCAAATAAGGTATCAACCTTGGAAGCGAAGTATCGAATCAATAGATGAAATATATCATACCTTGAGGAACATTGTGGTCCTTCACGGGGATCATAGAAAAACCGACACTGACCTATTTTCTCGCTTTTCACGAGAATTACAAGTTGGTTTTAGACTCAATGTGTATTCACTTATGTATCTTGGGTTGTAAGTACTTTAACTATTTGAATATTTCTAGTTATACATACTTTTCATAACTGTACATTTTGGGTTATAAGTACTAAGACTATTTCTATGTTTCGACTTATACATATGTTCATTTTCATACATTTTGAGAAATATAATAATTGATTACACAAATAAATTGGAATGAATATTTTGATTTGGTGTCAATACTGAAAGTAAGTGTTTTGAACTAAAGGTATCGACTTTGTAATATGCTTTTGGTTTTGAAGCAAATGAGTTGTTGAAAGTACTATAATTGTGTTTATACATTTTGTACATACAAGTTATTTTGCATCTATCCAAAAAGTGAAACTAACCAATGTTTTAAAAACTGGTTCAAACAGGTCGGACTGAGAACAGGAAACGATAACGGTTTAATACCAACCAAATTTTTAGTTGAACCGA